AGCGGGACAAACACCTTTTGAGGGTGTTAGTGGGGCGTAAAAAGGCTTTGACCAGAAAATGGCTCAAGAAAGACAAACCAACAGCAGAGGAGTGGATTGATAGCATTTATAATATATATGTAATGGAGAGAATTACATTCAGGAACCAAACTGATATGTTTGAAGAGAACTGGTTAAATGTTTCAGCTATGTGTCAACTGTAAGATCGCAAAGATAAGGTCGAGTCCTTTAATAAGAAATGTTTTGTCCCTATTTTCAAGCAGCGTATGTTCTTATGTTGACTGCTGCACAAATCCTCCCCTCCACATGTGATGTTGTATGTGTTGTGCCCAGTTTGCACATATGTGTATGTTACTCAAAGAAAACGAATAAAGAGTAAATAAAAAATAAAACCTAATTAAATCCTCTAATATAACTCAAACCTCACAAAAACAGTGTTTAAACTGTCTCCTCTCTTCTGTTCTCACCCTGTGCATTGATTTATTTCCTTCCACTACTATCCCTGTCCCACCTGTCCTGACATTTCTTCATCGTTTTCATCAGCTTCTCCTTTACCAAACAGTATATTTATTACGCCCCTTTACATGAGCCGGTTACATTATAAACAACAGAATCAACACAGCACTGTCTGGTTTCACTTCCTCCACCCACTGCAGCTCTACAATAATCGCCATCATTTCTGCAGCGTAAACTGATCAGGTCATCTTTTCCCAGTACTTACATTCATTGTTGGTATATTACTATACCTACCCTATCCTTCATCTTTTGACCCGTCTGTATAAATATCTAAATAACTGTAATACATTCCTGAACAAAATCTTATGACCGGGAGAAAAATTACAAGTATTTGCATTACAACCAGGTTGTAAGTAGAGCTTCAAAATGCCAAAAGAAGAAACAGGAGCAAGAGACAAAACAATAGAGGAGGCAATTTATTGAAAATTGCATTTAAACTCAAACAGGCTGTTCATCAGCTGATCAAAAGTTTAAGACCATAGCCTTAAAAAGTCCAAATCTGTGCAAAAATCTGGCTTTCATGTCATTTTCTATCAGGCATTCCCACTGTCATGACCACCTGATGGCAAAGGCAAAAAGGCTTTCTGTCTTTGAACGTGGCAGGATTGTTGAGCTGCACAAGCAAGGCCTCTCACAACGCGCCGAGGTTGGACGCAGTAAGACAGTCATTTTAAATTTCTTAAAAGATCCTGAGGGTTATGGGACAAAAAGGTCAAGTGTTAGACCCAAAACAATTTCCCCTGCGCTGAGCCGGAGGATCCAACGGGCTGTCCGTGAAGACACAGGCCGATCCTCAACCCAAATTAAGGCCCTTACTGATGCTGACTGTAGCGCAATAACCATCAGACAGCGTCTGCGACAGAAGGGCTTAAAGAACAAAAAACATCTTCAAAGGCCACGTCTCCTCCCACACCACAAACCTGCCTGTTTGTACTTTGCAAGGGAGCACCAAACATGGGACATTGAAAGGTGGAAGAAAGTTTTATTCTCTGATGAGAAAAAATTTAACCTTGACGGTCCTGATGGCTTCCAACGTTACTGGCATGACAAGGAGACCCCATTGGAAATGTTTTCTGGGCGGCACAGTGGAGGAGGCTCCATCATGATCAATGGAACAATGGAGCTTCAGGTTGTGCAGGGACGTCAAACTGCGACTGGCTATGTGGACATGTTGCAGCGGGCATCCCTCTTGACTGAGGGCCCTTGTCTGTGCGGTGATGATGGTCTTTCAACAGGACAACGCTGCAGTTCACAACGCCGCCTGACGAAGGACTTCTTCCAGGAGAATAACGTTGCTCTTTTGGACCATCCTGCATGTTCCCCTAATCTAAATCCCATTGAGAACGTTTGGGGATGGATGGCAAGGGAAGTTTACAAAAACGGACATCAGTTCCAGACCATGGATGCCCTTTGTGAAGCCATCTTCACCACATGGAGCAACATTCCCACCATCCTCCTGGAAACACTCGCATCAAGCATGTCTAAACGAATTTTTGAAGTGATCAACAACAACGGTGGGGCGACTCACTACTGAGTCCTTTTTTTGACACTTTTAGTTCTATTTTGGGTTTTTTTTATGGGCTAAACCTTTGATCAGCTGATGAACAGCCTGTTTGAGTTTAAATGCAATTTTCAATAAATTGCCTATGCTATTGTTTTGTCTCTTGCTCCTGTTTCTTCTTTTGGCATTTTGAAGCTCTACTTACAATCTTGTTATGTTCCACCAACGCGAAATGCGAATACTTGCTTCATTTTTCCCCCGGTCTTAAGATTTTGTTCAGGAGTGTATTTGCGTCTTATGAAGTGATGTGCCAGGTGTCGTTTCCCACTCTCTTCCCATTCTCTCTTTAATTCTTATTAGTTCTTTACACCATTAAATAAAGTAACAATTAAATGATTGTATGAATAATAATTAAAGAGAATCAAATCAGACAAACAAGAAATAGAAAACAAACCCGGTGCATTCATGGTGTTCTGCACGCTGTAATATTTTCCTCTGCTCCCATCTGTCCTGACATTTATTCATTATTTCATTCTTTGTTCCCTTTTATACTCTCACAAACTCTCCAATTTTCTTATAAGTTGGTCCCTTATATAGAAGCACAACTATTCTCCTTTAACTAACCCCCTCTCTGTAATCTGACCCCAAACACGGACAATCATTTTTGCACTGTTTGCACATTTTAAACTGTACATTTGACCTTTATATATATATTTATATATATTCTTAATATATTATATGTTCTAACAAAAGAAATTTCCGATTCTGATTCTGATTCTGATTCTGATTTTAAGTTGAACTGTCCAAAAATGTTTAAAGTTAAGTCCAGTAATGTTAAAAAACTGCAACTGAGAGTTGTCTCCACTGGTTGTGATTCCTCTGTCAGTCACTGCTGGATGAAGCTCTCCTCTCCACTCTACCTCCCAGTAACATGGCCCAGTCAGAGCTGATGCTGCTGCTTCAACCTCTCTGGATCATCAGGACACAGCGGATCCTCCAACACAACCTCCTTCATCACCGCTCACTGTTAATAAAACAACTTCCATCTGAGGAGAGAAGGAGACAGAGGACAGCAGAGATAAATCAGTGTTTACAGAGACTCCCTCCATCAGCACATCCAGTATAAAGAGCAGCAGGGACTTCAGTCCAGTTCAGACCAGCAGTGGAGCGGCTGTGTAGCGTAGCCTGCTTCCTTTCAGCTCTCATGGTAACGTATTGGAGTAAAAACACTGAGCTGAAGCTCACAGACCTGCAGACGCTGAATTACACAAATTTCACTGAAGTACACAGTGGAAATAAAGTGCTGAGAGTCCCTGAACGCATCATTACTGCAGAAACAGAGAGACATTCAGTGCCCACTGGAATGATGCATTTACTGCTGTTAAAAACTGAGGAAAGCAGCAAATACTCAATCTGTGTTCAGGCCATTACTGCTGGAACCAGCATGGACTGACTCAGACCCTCTACTGACCTCAGAGTCTGCAGTCTACAGTGTGGACTCTCCACAAGATCAGACAGCAGCTTCACTCCTGAATCCTTCAGCTTGTTGTTCCTCAGGTCCAGCTCTCTCAGATGGGAGGGGTTGGACTTCAGAGCTGAGACCAGAGAGGAACAGCTGATCTCTGACAAACTGCAGACCCTCAATCTGAATAAAGAATAAAAGATGTGAGTTTAGAAGACAATGTTCCTGCTTGAAATCATTCAGTGTTTAATAATCTGTTCAGAGCTGAAGTAGGTTTACAATGTACAAGTTTAGAAAATGGAAACTCCAAACACCTGAACCCAACAGGATGCAGCAATGGACTAAACCACAGAAGAAGAAAACAGCCTTTAGCATTAAGATACTCAGTGTGGATCAGTATAATATCAGCCTTATGTCTGCACTTTACTGTCAGCACAACTTTCACATCACATTCATCTCAGCACAGAAATGAAAAATGGTGTCTAACCTCAGAGTCTCCAGTCTACAGTGTGGACTCTCCAGAAAACCACACAGCAGCTTCACTCCTGAATCCTTCAGGTTGTTGTTACCCAGCCTCAGCTCTCTCAGATGGGAGGGGTTGGACTTCAGAGCTGAGACCAGATAATCACAGCTGATCTCTGACAACCTGCAGCAAATCAATCTGAATAAAGAATAAAAGATGAAGAATTAGGTTCAATTGTTAATGAAACACATCAGATCTACAACAGTAACAGAGAGTCAGTGAACTGACCCCAGAGTCTCCAGTCTACAGTGTGGACTCTCCAGAAAACCACACAGCAGCTTCACTCCTGAATCCTTCAGGTCGTTGTCACTCAGGTCCAGCTCTCTCAGATGGGAGGGGTTGGACTTCAGAGCTGAGACCAGATAATCACAGCTGATCTCTGACAACCTGCAGTCCCTCAATCTGAATAAAGAATAAAAGATGTCAGTTTAGAAGACAATGTTCCTGCTTGAAAGCATTCAGTGTTCAGGTTGCAAACTGTAAAATACAAAGGGTGAAAAAGAGCTCTCATTAATATTAATGACAACGTGCTGCTGCTTCAATAAAGACATAGTGACTTCAGCTCTTAACCTCTGCCAGCTCCACCAGTGGCTCCATCTATACAAACTCATGTTGTGAAGCCAAACACAAAGAAAAACCCACAGAAACTGATTGAAGGTTCCACTCAAGATGCCAAAGTTTACAAAGATACCAAATATGTCAGGATGGATTTTGGGGAAATGTGAACAAAAGACATCAACAATATTTATTTTAGGAATAGTGGAGTCATAAAATCAGCTTCAGTTTAAACTATTCAGTCAGTATAAGGAACATCATATAGCTTCATAACAATGTTGGAAAAAGTAAAAACTGAATGCATTTGTTATTGTCTGATAGTTGAAATAGAGATTATTGATTCATTCATTGTTTATGCATTTTTATTCCCATTTATTAAAACCATGATGTGGAATATCAGATTAAATCCAGAGCTGAAGAGGTTCACAGTGAATTATTCAGTGTAGATTCTTCTTGTTATATGAAGGTTTTAAATGTGGAGCTCAACATTGCTCTGCCACAGTCAATGGACTAAACCACTGAAGAAGAAAACAGCCTTTAGCATTAAGATACTCAGTGTGGATCAGTATAATATCAGCCTTATGTCTGCACTTTACTGTCAGCACAACTTTCACATCACATTCATCTCAGCACAGAAATAAAACATGGTGTCTGACCTCAGAGTCTCCAGTCTACAGTGTGGACTCTCCAGAAAACCACACAGCAGCTTCACTCCTGAATCCTGCAGCTTGTTGTTACCCAGCCTCAGCTCTCTCAGATGGGAGGGGTTGGACTTCAGAGCTGAGACCAGATAATCACAGCTGATCTCTGACAAACTGCAGTCCCTCAATCTGAATAAAAAATAAAAGATGTCAGTTTAGAAGACAATGTTCCTGCTTGAAATAATTCAGTGTTCAGGTTGCAAACTGTAAAATACAAAGAGTGAAAAAGAGCTCTCATTAATATTAATGACAACGTGCTGCTGCTTCAATAAAGACATAGTGACTTCAGCTCTTAACCTCTGCCAGCTCCACCAGTGGCTCCATCTATACAAACTCATGTTGTGAAGCCAAACACAAAGAAAAACCCACAGAAACTGATTGAAGGTTCCACTCAAGATCCCAAAGTTTACAAAGATACCAAATATGTCAGGATGGATTTTGGGGAAATGTGAAGAAAAGACATCAACAATATTTCTTTTAGGAATAGTGGAGTCATAAAATCAGCTTCAGTTTAAACTATTCAGTTAGTAGAAGCATCATATAGCTTCATAACAATGTTGGAAAAAGTAAAAACTGAATGCATTTGTTATTGTCTGATGGTTGAAATAGAGATTATTGATTCATTCATTGTTTATGTATTTTTATTCCCATTTATTAAAACCATGATGTGGAATATCAGATTAAATCCAGAGCTGAAGAGGTTCACAGTGAATTATTCAGTGTAGATTCTTCTTGTTATATGAAGGTTTTAAATGTGGAGCTCAACATTGCTCTGCCACAGTCAATGGACTAAACCACTGAAGAAGAAAACAGCCTTTAGCATTAAGATACTCAGTGTGGATCAGTATAATATCAGCAGTATGTCTGCACTTTACTGTCAGCACAACTTTCACATCATATTCATCTCAGCACATAAATAAAAAATGGTGTCTGACCTCAGAGTCTCCAGTCTACAGTGTGGACTCTCCAGAAAACCACACAGCAGCTTCACTCCTGAATCCTTCAGGTTGTTGATACCCAGCCTCAGCTCTCTCAGATGGGAGGGGTTGGACTTCAGAGCTGAGCCCAGATAATCACAGCTGATCTCTGACAACCTGCAGCAAATCAATCTGAATAAAGAATAAAAGATGAAGATAAAATCATTTAGAATCCTATTCATGTCGACACTGATCAGTAACATGCTGCTGATCTCAGTCCAGTCTGGATTTAGAGGATCAATACTGTATTGATCCTTCAAACAGCTGCATTTCTGTGTGTGTGTGTGTGTGTGTGTGTGTGTGTGTGTGTGTGTGTGTGTTTGTGTGTGTGTAGGATCAATATCAATGATCAGACATTATTTGTGGAAACACATTGAAATGAACAGAAAGTAAAGAAATATTTCTCCTTCAGTAAAGTTGATCAATGTAAACAAATATGAGTTCAGAGGATCTTCTGTATCCAGATGTGACCATTTACCAACAATGATAAACATTCATTTACTTCAACAACTAACAGTGGACATTTTCTACAGTTTCTATAAGAAAAAGTCTTTGTGACTGCAGACTAAATTTATTCAACAAATATGAAAATATGAACAAAAAGCAAATGTACGACTTTATGGGTGTAAATTATGTATGAACATAAATTAGGTTCAATTGTTAATGAAACACATCAGATCTACAACAGTAACAGAGAGTCAGTGAACTGACCCCAGAGTCTCCAGTCTACAGTGTGGACTCTCCAGAAAACCACACAGCAGCTTCACTCCTGAATCCTGCAGCTTGTTGTTACCCAGCCTCAGCTCTCTCAGATGGGAGGGGTTGGACTTCAGAGCTGAGACCAGATAATCACAGCTGATCTCTGACAACCTGCAGCAAATCAATCTGAATAAAGAATAAATGATGTGTTCAGGTTTTAAATGTGTAGCTCAACTTTGCTCGACTTTGTCATTATGTTATTATGCATCATCCAAATGTCGGCACAACATTCATACACCTATTCATGTTATTGATTCCGAACAATAAGATGCTGCTGATCTGAGTTTTCTTGTTTCTCATGACTTGACTTTAATTCTCTTCATTTTCTTCTAATAAAACAAGTATGTGTCATTTTATGAAAAACACTCCCAAAATGTCCAAAATTAATAAGACACTATGAAATATATGATAATTTAAGGAAACTTTAACACCTGTCTCAGCACTTCTGATACTCTTGATTCAATGTTCAGATTTAGATTATTTCAATTTCAATTTTCAATTTTATTTGTATAGCGCCAATTCATAACAGAAGTTATCTCAGGACACTTCAAATGGAGTAGGTCTAGACCGAACTCCTTATAACATTTACAGAGACCCAACAGTACCACCATGAGCAAGCACTTGGCGACAAGGGCAAGGAAAAACTGCCTGTTAAAAGGCAGAAACCTTGGACAGACCCTTCGGCTCTAGGTGGGTGGTCGTCTGCCTCGACCAGTTGGGGTGAGAGAGAGAGAGAGAGAGAGAGAGAGAGAGAGAGAGAGAGAGAGAGAGAGAGAGAGAGAGACAGAGACAGAGACAGAGACAGAGACAGATAGACAGACAGACAGACAGACAGACAGTTACACAGCAACAACAGTAGCAACAACTACACTAATATTAGTGACTGATGATGATGAACATGAGAGAGATGATGACGACGACAACAGCAACGATGGGGGACAATGAGCAGTGACAATAGTAATAATAGTAACTGTAGTAATAATAATAATAATAATAATAATAATAATAACAATAATATCAGTGATATTGGCAATGGCAATCTAGCAGGACCATGGCAGGAGGCTCCACCAGGATCCATGAGAACCTGCGAGACGAGAAAACACAAGTACTCCGGGGAAGAAGTTAAGTTAGTAACATGCATTAACGGGACATGAATGAGTGCAGAAAGAGAGAGAGAGGAAGAGAGGAGCTCAGTGCATCATGGGAAATCCCCCGATACTCTAGGCCTATAGCAGCATAACTAAGGGATGGTTCAGGACTCACCTGATCCAGCCCTAACTATAAACTTTATCAAAGAGGAACGTCTTAAGCCTACTGTGGAGAGGGTGTCTGCCTCCCGAACCACAACTGGAAGCTGGTTCCACAGGAGAGGAGCTTGGTAACTGAAGGCTCTGGCTCCTGTTCTACTTTTAGAGACTATAGGAACCACAAGTAGCCCAGCATTCAGAGAACGTAGTGTTCTAGTGGGGTAATAGGGTACTATAAGCTCTTTAAGATGGGGCCTGACCATGAAGAGCTTTATAGGTGAGGAGGAGGATTTTAAATTCTATTGTAAATTTTACATGGAGCCAGTGCAGAGAAGCTAGTACAGGAGAGATGTGATCTCTTTTCCTAGTTCCTGTCAGTACTCGTGCTGCAGCGTTTTGAATTAATTGGAGCATTTTAATGGACTTATTGGGGCAACCTGATAATAAAGAGTTGCAGTAATCCAGCCTAGAAGTAACAAATGCATGGATTAGTTTTTCTGCATCTGTCTGTGATAGTATGTGTCTAATTTTTAGTAGGCAGTCCTGGAGGTTTGCTTTATGTGGGAGTTAAATGACAAATCCTGATCAAAGATAACTCCAAGATTCCTGACAGTGGTGCTAGAGGCCAAGGTAATGCCATCTAGAGTAACTATATCTTTAGACAATGAGTCTCTAAGGTTTTTGGGGCCAAGAACAAGAATTTTGTTTCTTTCTGAGTTTAACATCAGAAAATTGCAGCTCATCCAGGATTTTATGTCCTTAAGACATGTTTGTAATTTAGATAATTGATTAATTTCATCGGGCTTGATCGATAGATATAACTGCATATCATCTGCATAACAGTGAAAGTTAATGGAGTGATTCCTAATAATGTTGCCTAAAGTGAGCATATATAAAAGTAAATAGTATTGGTCCAAGTACAGAACCTTGTGGAACTCCATGACTAAATGTAGTATTTATTGAAGATTCATCGTTAACATGTACAAACTGCGAGCGATCTGATAAATATGACTTAAACCAGCTTAGTGCGGTTCCTTTAATGCCAATTTGATGCTCAAGTCTCTGTAAAAGAATACCATGGTCAATGGTGTCAAATGCAGCACTAAGATCTAATAATACAAGTACAGAGACAAGTCCATTGTCAGAAGCAGTCAGAAGGTCATTATTAACTTTAACCAGAGCTGTCTCTGTGCTGTGATGAACTCTAAATCCTGACTGAAAATCCTCAAATAAACTATTGTTATGTAAAAAGTCACACAACTCTTTGGCGACTACTTTCTCCAGAATCTTAGAGAGGAAGGGAAGGTTAGAGATCGGTTTATAGTTGGCTAAAACCCCTGGGTCAAGAGTGGGCTTTTTAAGAAGGGGTTTAATTACAGCTACTTTAAAGGACTGTTGTACATATCCTGATAATAAAGAAAGATTAATCATATCCAGTAAAGAAGTGCCAATTAAGGGTACGACCTCTCTTTAAACAGCCTAGTTGGGATGGGGTCTAACAGACAGGTTGATGGCTTCGATGAAGAAATTATTGAAGTTAACTGATGAAGAAGGATAGCAGAAAAACATTCTAAATATATATATGATTTTACATTAGTTAAAGTTCCTGAACTTGGAGAGCCACTGATACCTGCTGAGGGCATTTGGTGATTAATTTTCTCTCTAATAGTAATAATTTTATTATAAAAGAAGCTCATAAAGTCATTGCTACTTAAGTTTATGGGGATATGTGGCTCAATAGAGCTGTGACTCTCTGTCAGCCTGGTTACGTACGTTATTCTCCTCTTCATCCTGCATTTGGAAATTTGTTTCACACTGTCTGTCTCTGTTCTCTTGTATGTGAGTTTGTGTGAGAAACTAACACACAACATGTATAAAAACTTTATTCCTGAAAATTTGTTGAACATTTATATATACCGTAAAACTTTGAATAGCCCGGGCGTTTATTTGCTTAAATCACTGAACTCCCCTGCTTTTTGCTATTTGGGAACAGTCCTTTAATTCCTTTAGCACTAAACTAGCTTCTCTTGAGTTTTGTTCAGCAAATTTGACAACTAACATGATGATTATGATGCTTCAGAGGTTTTTTTCCATCTCTCTTGTTTACCATGTTACTGGTAAGTCAGAATGAATTAACGTTATACTTTGTTGTTGATAGTTTTCGTAAAATATAGTGAATGATTGAATTGTGGAGAATCTATAACTGATCTAACGATGTGCATTATGTACATACTGACAGAGGTTTAAACATTTATATTTGTGTAGGAGATCGAAACGTCTTAAAACTCGCTCAAGCAGGCGACCTGGTGGGTTTTAAGAGGTTTTATACGAAAGATAATTTCTATAAAATCCAGACCAGGCCTCTATTGGAGACATGCATTTATTTGTCAAAACGTGTAGCCACACCAGGCTTTTAAATGAGACCTGCGTCTATTAGGGACCCTGCTTTTATTGGAAGATTTACGGTAGACGTATCTCACATTTAACATGATAAATACAGAATTGTTTAACAGCACTTTGAAGTACTAATCCTACACCTTTCTTAATAATATTACATACAGATTACACTGGGAGCCTAACTGTTCAGAGAGTAGAAAAAAGAAGTGTTGGGTGGTACTGTTGGGTCTCTGTAATTAATGTTAAAGAGTTCGGTCTAGACCTGCTCTATTTGAAAAGTGTCCTGAGATAACTTCTGTTATGAATTGGCGCTATACAAATAAAATTGAATTGAATTGAATTGAATTGATTTGTTATACCTGAAAGACATTTTAAACTTCTGTTATGGTATTAAATTTGGTAGATATACACTGTACAAGAGAAAAATACCTCAGAGTCTCCAGTCTGCAGTGTGGACTCTCCAGTCCAGCAAACAGCAACTTCACTTCTGAATTATACAGGGTATTGCAGCTCAGGTCCAGCTCTCTCAGATGGGAGGGGTTGGACTTCAGAGCTGAGGCCACGACTTCACAGTGAGTCTCTGAGAGTCCACATTCAGAAAATCTGTAAACACAGTGAATATAAAACTTAATGTATAAATCTGACATTGTATTATAAAAATAGACAAAATAGCATTTTGCATCACAAAGCATATTCACATAAGTGGGTCAGACTGAGCTGTCAGTCACTGATCACAAGGCTTGTGGTTTGAAAGTTGAGCTCCTCCTGTCCACATGTCAAAGTGTCCCTGAGGAAGATAATGAACCCCAAATTGTGGCTTTAGACAAAACTGTTTAAATGACTGTGATGTAAACATGTGTCGTATTTGGATTGACGTGGTGCTGTGATTTGTGTTAAACCTAACAACTTATTTTAACATGACGTTCACTGAGCTGTAAAATCACTGTAGGTTGTAACTGCACTCGTGTATTTGTGTGCATTTTGTGCATCTTGGAGAGATGGATCTTATTATGTTACTCCATTTGCTTTTCATCTCCTAATAAATGTATTAAATTACTCCTCTTGCATTAATAGTATAATTAGTGCTAAACATTGTAATATAATTTTATGTGTGATTCCAAACTGTTTAACAATTTTCTTCTCTGAACTTGGTGATGATAAAATCCCTCCACTGAACTGAACCTACTGAGCTCTTTTTTACTGACTGCAAATTCAATGAAACCCACAGTGCAAATGTTATGGAGTTAGATTTGTGTCTTTATTACATGCGAGAAAATAAATGATCTGACAGAAAAAAAAAATGTTTGAGAGAAAAAGTTATCACACTGATAGCAAAAAAACATTTTATGAGAGACAAAAAAAATATTTGAGAGAAAAAGTTTTCATACCAATAGCAAAAAATAATAATATTTGAGACTAAAAAAAGTTTTGAGAGTATTTTCTCATAGAACATAAAAAATATAAATTTGAAATTTTTAAAATTATTTCTGAGAAAAAAAAATCTCTCAAAATACTTTTTTAACTCTCAAATATATTTTTCTGCTATCAGAAATCAGTGTGAAAACATTTTCTCTCACAAAAAATGTGTTTCTCTCAAAACGTTTTTCTTCTCTTTCTCAAAGCCTAAGCCTTTGCTCTCGATGCAATTTCTTGCTCTCGTGTCAGGATTTTGCTCTCGCTGTGAAAATAATGTCATGGGCGGGGCCACGTTCCTATTGGGCAGTCGGGTGAGAATCGTCTTGGGAGTCGAACTGAATCATTACACCATTGTCGATTCACCGGCATAGATAGGTGCCTTAGTTGAGCGCAGAGACTCCAATGTTTGGCTAAGATGATGACACACACAACTCGATGGGTAGCTAGCTGAGCAAGTTGGTAATCAAAATCATTCCCATCATAGGAACGACTGTCTAGCACTAACAGGTTAGAGAGTAACAGATCAGAGGTATTAAAGGATGTTTGACTGGTTAGAGAGTAACAGATCGGGGCAAAGACTTAGGTTTTGAGAGAGAGAAGAAAAACGTTTTAAGAGAAACACATTTTTTGTGAGAGAAAATGTTTTCACACTGATAGCAAATAAATATATTTGAGAGTTAAAAAATTATTTTGAGAGATTTTTTTTTCTCAGAAATAATTTTAAACATTTCAAATTTATATTTTTTATGTTCTATGAGAAAATTCTCTCAAAACTTTTTTTAGTCTCAAATATTATTATTTTTTGATATTGGTATGAAAACTTTTTCTCTCAAATATTTTTTTTTCTCTCAGATCATTTATTTTCTCACATGTAATAAAGACACAAATCTAACTCCATAAAATGTGAGCTGCTAGTTACTGTAGAAAAATGGCACAGAACAGAAGCAGTCTGACAGTTTAGAAACTGATAATCTATATAATCTATATCCAGATGGAAAAGGTGAAAAAATGTGACACACTTTAAAAAACTGCTCTCTATCAGTGAACATTACTTTTTTGGCCTTTATTTGACAGAGATAGCTTGGAGACAGAAAGGGGCACAGACATGCAGCAAAGGGCCGCAGGTTGGACTCGAACCCAGGCCGCTGCATATATGGGTCGCCAGCTTTACTGACTGAGCTAACCGGGCACCCCAGTGAACATCACTAAAGTAAGTTTGGAATCTACCAGTTTACACAGCAGTCCATTCAAATAGTATCAGAGAGGGAGCTTCCTTACTGCTTATAAATAAAACAAATTTCTTCTTTTAGGAAAACTTAATTTATAATAATCACATCTGGACTTACACAGCCTTTCTGCAGTTCCTCACAGCTGGAATCAGTCTCTGTCGTCCCTCATCTGATGTGTTGTACTTCTTCAGGTCCAACTCATCCAGGACCTCCTCTGACATCTGCAGCATGTAGGCCAGAGCTGAGCAGTGGATCTCAGAGAGTTTCTTCTCTGATCTGTTCTCTGACTTCAGGAACTCTTGGATCTCCTGATGGACTGAGTGGTCGTTCATCTCCGTCAAACAGTAGAAGACGTTGATGCTTCGGTCAGGAGAGATATTATCACTGTTCATCTCCTTCAGGTTGTTGATGGCTCTCTGGATGGTTTCTGGACTGTTGTCCATCCGACCCAGCAGGCCTCCTAAGAGTCTCTGGTTGGACTTCAGAGAGAGGCCGTGAAGGAAGCGAACAAACAGGTCCAGGTGGCCATTATCACTCCTCAGGGATTTCATCATTGCTTCTCTCAGGAAGACATCCACAGTTGAATTAATGTGTTTTTTTCCCAACAAACCCTCCAGTACCTCTGTGTTCCTGTTGGTGTAACAGTGGAACATGTAGACTGCAGCCAGAAACTCCTGAATGCTCAGATGAACAAAGCAGTAGACTGTTTTCTGGAAGGTCACACTCTCTCTTCTGAAGATCTCTGTACAAACTCCTGAGTACACCGAGGCCTCTGTGACATCAAGACCACACTGCTCCAGGTCTTCTTGGTAGAACATGATGTTTCCTTTCTCCAGCTGTTCAAACGCCAGCCTCCCCAGCTTCAGAAGAACTTCCCTGTCAGCCTCCATCAGCTCCTGTGGACACGTCTCATGTCCCTCATCATACTTCTGCTTCTTCCTCTTTGTCTGAACCAGCAGGAAGTGTGAGTACATGTCAGTCAGGGTCTTGGGCAGCTCTCCTCTCTGGTCTGTAGTCAACATGTGGTCCAGAACTGTAGCAGTGATCCAGCAGAAGACTGGGATTAGACACATGATGTGGAGGCTCCGCGAGGTCTTGATGTGTGAGATGATCCTGTTGGACAGATCTTCATCACTGACTCTCCTCCTGAAGTACTCCTCCTTCTGGGCGTCTGTGAAGCCTCGTACTTCTGTTACCCTGTCAACACATTTAGGAGGAATCTGATTGGCTGCTGCAGGTCTGGAAGTTATCCAGACGAGAGCCGAGGGAAGCAGATTGCCCTTGATGAGGTTTGTCAACAGCACGTTGACTGAAGACTTCTGTGTGACGTCAGACACAACCTCATTGTTGTGGAAATCCAGTGAAAGTCTGCTTTCATCCAGGCCGTCAAAGATGAACAAAAGTTTACAGACAGCGAGCTGCTCTGCTGTGACCTTCTGTAATGTTGGATGGAAAACATGTAGCAGCCTGAGAAGACTGTACTGCTCATCTTTGATCAGGTTCAGCTCCCTGAATGAAAGCAGAACCACCAGACTGACATCTTGGTTTTCCAAACCCTCTGCCCAGTCCAGAGTGAACTTCAGCACTGAGAAGGTTTTTCCAACGCCAGCGACGCCGTTCGTCAGAACCACTGTGATGTGTCTCTGTTGGTCAGGTAAAGCTTTAAAGATGTTGTGGCACTTGATTGGAGTCTCATGGAAGGTCTTCTTCTTGGAAATTGTCTCAAGCTGCCTCACCTCATGTTGGGTATTAACGTCTTCACTCTGTCCCTCTGTGATGTAGAGCTCAGTGTAGATCCTGTTGAGGAGGGTTCCACTTCCTGGTGTATCAGTTCCTTCAGTGACACGTTCACATCTCTTCCTCAGACTGATCTTGTGTTCATCTAAAACCTCCTGCAGACCATCACCTACTAAAATGAAAAAAGTGTGATACAAAAAAATTTAAATGTAATGATCTAAGGATTATTTTCAATTCCACTGAAAAAATATCAATATAATATTTTATCAATTTAAGATCAAAATAAGAGAAGTAAAGGTTATAATGTCCAGTTTTGGGGAAATATCAGAAATGCTCCTTTTTTTCTCAACCAATGACTGTCTGTCGGTGTACATAATTAATTAATTGACGGCAAAGGTGAAAGGTTGAGCCACAGTAGATCATCGCAGCTCTTCATCTAAACACCTCACTGCGACTCCTTTAATATTTAAAACTGATATATTGATCAAATAATACAGAATATGTGTTTTGTTTGTAGACCTGTTTTTATTAAATAGGAACGCTAACAAAGCACTGTTAATCTCTGTGACAAATACACTCCATTTCCTATAGCTGTTTCACTATAAAAGCCAGTGCAGAAAGAACTGTTAAGTTTATATCAGCAGCAAATTAATAAAGCTCTGATCTGATGAAAGCAAGGTTAATTTATTTTGTATTTGTCTACAAGACAGGGTTGCACAATGAAATGCAAGAGGTAGTCCCAATCACTACATAAGGAAAAATAACTTTTTTTTCATAATGAGTGAACACATAGAGCTTTCTCTCTAGTCACCAGCACAGACACACACTTTAGTTTGAGGGAGGAGACCATCTCAGGTTGGCCCCTGTAAATGACCACTAGCTCATGAATGACAATTCATACTTTGCAGTCACGTGGTTACCATGGTTACCTGGCAGGCAAGAAACTTATATATTTACATATATCCGTCACCTTACACCGCACAAAAAATGAAAGCCTACAAAAGTATGGATAGCTATCTTTTTTTCAAGAGTGGATGGGTTAACAACGCTGTCGTATGGGAGGTGAAAAACAGGAATATCTTCATAATCAAAGCTAACGTGAGTACTAATGTTTGCATGTCTGTAGCTATACACAAAGTGACATCTGTTCCGTCGTGTGATGAAGTCTTCATCTGAATATGTACACCCTGCCTGCCGGCCAATGACAGCTTGATAAGTAGCGTTAGTTTAAAAAAAACCTTATGCCAACTAGACTGTATTATATATGACTAACAGGATGTCAGACATTGTAGCCTACCTGCTCATCCACTCCACATAGCATCAGACAACAGACAAGAGCAGCTGGGGCAGTGAAATGTCTTTAATCCTGTTAGCAATCTGTTAGGTTGTAACGTTAATGTAGTAGTAATAACTGTACCATAGTATGTATGCAAAGTAACTGTATGTAAGTAAGTAGACGCAGTACAACAGTAACGTGTACTGTAACATGTATTCTTCTTCTCATCATATATCAAATCACGTACATATGATATATATATACTTTTGTAAAGTAAAACTGGCGACGTCCTGGCAAGATCCTTGATTAGTTTACTGGGTTTCGTTGCTGGAGAACGATGTTCTTGCCCGCCAGCTAGTAGTTGTGACGTCACGTGAAAAGTATGAATTGACGACTGCAACTCACTCCAGGCTCGATCTGCCTGCATGTGCCATCTGGGCACCAACGGGCATATAGCTTCATACAGCTTAACAGTGTGCTTGGATAAGCAAAGGACTGCCTAGCCTTTGTTAATGTACATGAACTGAAGTGTATTGTTGTGATCATTTCCAGGGTTAACCTGAGGTTACTGTGTAATGTAAAATAAAAAACAAGACGTTTCACCTCACACATGCAGTTCAGAAGCTGGCAGTTTGAACTTGGCTTTATACCCTGCGGTAAGTTGGATGGTTCTGTCCTCCATGTCATCCATTTGTTCCTAAGAATGGACACCTCATTTTTTTCCCCCCTTTCTTAACTGTCAACAAATGGTGCCCCATGCGCAGCACAGTACTGTACGTATTTATTTATAATGTGCAATATTAATATTCAGCTCATTCAAAGTAATGCTGAATATCAGCATTACTTTTGAGTACGTCATATATGTCCAAGTCCCTCTTAATCACCCCTTAAATCCATCTATACTACCTCCTCACATTCCAGTGGTTAAATCTTTCAAGTATCTAGGTGTTGATATCCACCTCTCTTTACATCATCTATTTCCATGAAGAACTTCCAAAACATTTTAAGACGAGTAGAGGAAGACTTAAGTAGATGGACAAAACTCCTTAACTTGTTATCAGCTCAAATCTCCATAATTAAAATGGATATTCTACCCAAAGTAAACTTCTTTTCCAATATGATACCTTTGCTATTATTTATTTGCTGGTCGACAGTTTGGGTCAGTTTAGATGGTACTTTCAAAAAACAACATTTTGCATAAAATGTGTCTCACTCCTGGAAAGCTCCACTTGATGAAGTTAAAATGGGAACGTAGGGTCTTTTCTGCACGTGTACTGGAATTGCCCATAAGTAGTGTATTTTTGGAAAATGGTATCTATAACATTATCTTAAATTACTTAATATTAAAGTGCCATATTATCCTAAATTGCTCATACTGAATGATAACTCCGCTTTAAGCCTCTCATTTTATTAGACACACTTTTAGGCTGGTTTGACAGCGGCAAAAAAAATGTTAGCCCTCCGCTGGCAACCTCCTCATTCTCTCTCCCAGACTCTTTGGCTATAGTCTTTATTGGATATAGCATACATGGGGCTGCAACAAGAATGTATAATGTCAAACAATCAACTGCAGCCAGAATCAGTAGCATTGCTGCCAGTCACCATTTTCTTATTCTCATAGGATTATTATCTCATTATTGTTTCATAAGTCTGTTGACTTATGTTTACAATAAACACTGTTTGCAGATATGTGTTTATTGACTCCTCTATGTTTCCTCCCTTGAGCCAGGGTCCTTACATCAGATCCAGCCAGTGTGATTCTGTTTTTTCTGATTCACACTCCTCCCTTAATGAGAGGTTTACTTTAACATTATTAGGGCCCGAGCAGCAAATCCTGCAACATTTTTTGGCAATTTGCACTTGTCATATTTCAACAAAGTTAACAAGATCAATTTCAATGCATTCTAAAGACCATCATCATTAAACGTTGTGCTTGGGTCGTCACTGCTCGGGCCCTAATTAAATATATATCTTTTATTCAATATTTATCACACACACACACACACAAACGCACAAACACCTTGTGTTCTTTAGTTTAGTGCATTTAGTTAGATTATATATATATATTTTATGAAGGGATCCTTAAGCTATTGATATGATATATGATATTAATATAATTATTAATCAGAGTTCCAAATTAATAGTTTGGTGTATTTTATTAGACTGACTGACTGATTTTATGAGGCTATCATTTTCTTTAAAAGGTGGTTATTTATTATTATCTTTGATAATTCTGCCAAAATGAATTGATTGTAACTCCACAGAAGATGTTTTTAGACTGCAGACTGAATGTAGACGTTGAAGCTGTTCAGCTTATTTGATGAAGTTGTTCTTGCATGATACATTGTACACTGATTGTAAATCTCTACATAAACGTAATGTAATAAAAAATATAGAAGGTTCCATTTTTAAGATGTACAGTCTTACTTTGTACAGTGCTGGTCTGACAGTCTGTCTGCAGTTCAGGTCTTGTTCTGGATCTTTCTGCACACTCGGGCTCCGCAGAAACGTCACTACTCTTCCTTTCTCTGTGAAGACATTTCTTTATAACTAAAATGATTTGTTGTAGTTGAAAGATATGAAGACTTGGCCACTGACACCGACACTGTCCATGAGCAAAGCTTTTTCTTCAAATTACTTTTTCACCACTTGTTGCACAGTTAAGACTCATCTGTTGCATTATAACTGCTGATCTGAGGACATATGACTTTAAGTTCTGAAGTTTAAATTCTGAAATGGAGGTTCTCAAGTATTTTACTAAAGAAATACAATAAGATCCATTTAGTTTGAAACAATATCTGCACTAATAGTTCTGTATCATGAATATACATTTTTAGCAGAACACTTATCCTCAATGCATCATCTTCATCAGCTCAGTTTAAGGTATAAACTGTTCCTTAAAACGCTACAGTAGTGTCTGTTGTAAAACTGAACTAGCCTAGCACAATAACAGGACGTTAGTGCTTCAATGTGAAAAGCAAATTAGCTAGCAGCTGCCGGTCATTGTTTATCTGCAGATAAAATCATAAGAGACAAATCGATCAATAATCTGATTGTTCAATTGTTGTTGGCAAACACATTTTGGTAAAAAGTTTAATATTCAAACACAAAATCCACAGAAGGTCATATAAATGAATCAGTATCAGTTCTCTTACTTTGTGTCTGAGGGTGCAGGTTCATTACTGAAGTTTACAGAGAGATCTTTAGACCGGTCACTCTTCATAGACAGACAGCTGGACACTGCAGACTCTGCTCCGTCCTCCTCTTCCTCCACACAAACACTCATCTTCTGCTCTGAAGTCATTCTGAGAGTCAAACAGTAACACTGACTGTGAGCTCAGAGGACAAAAATCTGGAAACAATTAGTTTGTACATGAGTCTCACAAAGACTGAGAGAACAGGAAGTAACACACACACACACACACACACACACACACACAGTATACAGTCTAATAAAAGCAGTCAGAACTCTACCTGCTCTCTTTTCTTTCAGTCTGTTTGTGTTCTGGGTTACAGCAGGTCCACTGTGTCCACAGATGAATCAAACTGTTGAGTTCATTCTAACTTTCTTCTTTCTTCCTTCTACAGTCCACAGGGAGAAAACGGACTCAGACACCCTGCCTCACCCTGCTGGTTTCCTCTTTCTGACGTCGACTCAAAACGGAATCTGAAACTCAATATCCTCTACCACTCTGCTTCTCGACCCACCTACCCCTCCAAAGCCCTCAGAAACCACGAGCCTAACAACAGAATCAACAAATCCACATACATAGAAATTGTGTTACTCTGTGACTCTAATGGGAAACATATCAACATGACACGTCTGTTCCTGGCAATCTGTCAAACTCTGGAGCTCCACCACAGCAAAAGTAACAATATCCACATTACTTCCTCGATCAGACATTCCCCAAAACATTATCAACACCATTAACTCAGAGATCTTCAGGAGATGTAATCACCTCCCTAATGTGAATGTGGCACACCACAGTATAACAAAATACCAGCACCTGTATGATCACATCCATCTCAACACAAGCAACACTACCGCTCTTCCCAGGAGCACCACAGGTACCATCATCCTTCCCAGGAGCACCACAGTAATTAACAACAATTAAATAAACACTCACCCTGCCGGTTTCCTCCTTCTGCGGTCGACTCACAATGGAATCTGAAACTCTTTCACTTTCACGCAAGGTCCCCTCCTGTTCTCATGAGCCTCTATCAAATGGATAGTGTTGCTCCTCCCCTCCCCATTTACAGGAAATCAGGTTATCTGTGTGTGTGTGTGTGTGTGTGTGTGTGTGTGTGTGTGTGTGTGTGTTTGTTGTGTGAACTAAAGTGCTTTACACTAAATGAACTGAGCGTGTTCTTTTACAGACTGATGGTGGACACAGTTGAACATTAGCTCCTTCATGTCCCACTGGATCTGTAGCTTTCTGAGAGACAGTTTCCAACCGCCATAAAACACTTGTGGCCAAATGGCACTTGAATTGTTGCCATGCCGGGTGCACGCCTTCAAAGGTCGCTTTAGCACCCTCTAGAGGACATGGCCGGTGGAGTCCTGCCTCATATTGTGTTTGTCAACCCAAGCACATGGACAAGCAGCTAGGCTACATCAAGGCAGGGCTGGCAACCACTAATTACCACCTCAAGCTGCCTCCCGTTTGCCCTCATCAGGCCAGGACAAAAGGAGCCACACCGACCAAGGAGGGTGAGTCTGTGTTTGCCTTCCCAGCTAACCACTGCGCTTCATAAATGTTTTGACTTTGTTTGTTGATATACTAATTAGAATCTGAGGGGTATTGCACAAAAGTAGAATAAAGAAATCCAGGATAATTGAGCAAGCGCGGCTTGACTTAGCCTGCTCAGCGCATCCTGGCTTAATCGGTTGCACGTTTGCCGAGCCAGGATTAAAAGGTGCGGCTATGTTAAGCCAGGTGTAGATAGTCGGGATAAGTGCGTGTTCACGGCATACTGAAATAGACCTTGCAATCGCTCACAGAATCACCGATGGGAACATGGATAAGAGTCGCGCTTCATATTTCACGGCCGCTGAACAACAGCTCCTGATGGAGTTCTATGAAGAGGTGGAAGATATCATAAGAAAAAAAGGCAATACCAATGCCATGATTAAAGAAAGAGAGAAAGCCTGGCAGACAATAGCGGACCGGCTTAATGCTTAAGTAGTCCAAAACTGTACAATGAATAAACAGTGCTTCACTGGAACTGTCATAATTAGGATCCAATTAAAGGACTAAAGGAGTTACTTTAAGTCCACTAATCAACTGTTGTACACTTTGCTTTAAATGTGGCAAGTAGAGGTGCATGTTACTCAGAAAATATAAAGTATGATTAAGTACAAACAATTCATAAAGAACAAACTTGTCTGGCCATAAAAGGACCTGGCAGCAAGTTACATTAAAAATGTTTAAAAAAGTTAAAGACAAGAACATTTTGCAGGCTGGAAAGTGACTCTAAAGTAGATAACAGTGAACAAATGAGGTGAATAGATTAGGTGTCTGCTGACATGTTGAATGTCTGTATGATTGTAGCAGTTAAAAAAAAGCCCATAGAACTGGCACACGGGGCGGCCCACCAAGCCAGAATATGTGCAGCAAATGGTTCCTTTATTAAGGTTCTCTGCATCCCCAACAGAATAAAGGAAGCTCCCACTTGCAAAACATCTCAATGTACCACAGACCATCTGTGGTACATTGAGAGCATGGCTTCCTGCCATCTGGTGCTGTATTTTTGGACCCAGCAGCCTACATAAATATCTTAGTCCATCACCTGAGAATCTGTATCTCTCAATGAGATAGTCCTCTCCAACGGCCAATGGGTCTGACCTGTCCCAGAAGACTCTTTCATGACTAAATGCTCGTCTGAGGATTAGGGCTTCCTCATCCAGTACATCCTCCAAGAAAGGGCAAGCCATTATGAAGAGGGAACAGGTGACTGGGAGTTGGACGGACGGACAGAAAGATATTCCTTTATTTGTCCCACAATGGGGAAATTCCAATGTAACAGCAGCAAATTGGATAGAGAGAAAACAGTATAAATAAACAGTAAGAGTAGGGAAATAATAAAAAACACTATGTACTAGATGTACTATATATATATATATATATATATATATATATATATACACTATATTGCCCTTGTCACAGATTTAATTGAAAACACCTTTGCAACTTCATCAGCTGTGTTTTGTAATCTCAATTACTGCAATAAACACATTTATGCAATTTGACAAGCAGTCTTCATTAGCATAGCAATATAACACTTGTCCTGAGTAATAATACTACCACTTGAATCAATATAAAAAGACTGTTGCAATTACAAACAGCCAACAGATTTAAATGAAATAAGAAATGACAATATATATGTAATATTTTAATGCAGGATAATTAAAATGATGCAACATACTTAGAAAGACCATGGACATGCTGTAAAACACATTAATTCCTCACAGGACTGACGGTGGAAATACAGGTGAATCACTAGGATTAATCTTAGCCTGGCTGTTAGCCTGGTCTGGAGCAGGCTAACTGCAGAGAATAAATCACCATAGTAACTTGGCCGGGATAAGTTTGACCTGCTTTCATGCAACCGACTTGAGGCTAAATTCAGCCAGGATAACCAACATATCCCGGCTTAATCCCTTATCCTGGTTTTGTGCAATACCCCTCTGATCTGATCTGATCACGCCAGGTGATCTGTCCTGATGATGTTTTCTAGCTGTTGTTGACGTGTGACGTGCTACGGTAAGCGTACTGACTCATTCCCGGTTCACTTCCTGCTCTGTGTACACTGTTTGGTGCTGTAGCTCTGTCAGTGAACGCTAAATATAAATTAGTTTTACTCGTTACTGCGGTTATTTACCCGCTTAACATTTAAACGTAGACTAGTTCTACCTAAACACTCGGAGTTTCTCCTTCTTTTAGGGACTTTTCACTACTTTCAAAGTTTTTCATACACTCTAGTTTCATTAGCATTAGCAGTTAGCTATGGCTTCTCCCTCTCCCTCTCCTCTGTCCTGCTCAGTGTGTCAGATGTTCAGTTATTCCTCTGCCTCCTTTAATGATAATGGTACCTGTATTAAATGTAGTTTATTTACTGCGCTGGAGGCGAGGCTTAGTGAGTTAGAGGAACGGCACCGCACCACTGAGATATCTTTAGCCGCTATACTTAGCCAGCCCCCGGTAGCCGGTGCGGTCCGACCGAATGTATCTTCTGTTAGCTCTGTAGATCCCCGGTAGTTCCCCCGGTAGTTCCTCCGGTAGTTCCTCCGGTAGTTCCCCCGGTAGTTCCCCCGGTAGTTCCCGAGCAGCCAGGAAGACAGGGAGGCTGGGTGACTGAGCGAAGGAAGACTAAAACACCGAAGCCCACAGTTCACCACCAACCCATTCATGTTTCTAATACATTGTCCCCACTCAGCGATACACCCGCTGAGGAACCAACTCTGGTTATTGGCAGCTCCATAGTCAGAAACGTGAAGTTAGCGAAGCCAGCGGCCATAGTTAAATGTATCCCTGGGGCCAGAGCGGGCGACATTGAATCAAATTTAAAACTGCTGGCTAAAGATAAACGTAAATACAGTAAGATTGTTATCCACGTCGGCGGTAATGACACCTGTTTACGCCAATCGGAGGTCACTAAGATTAATGTGGAGTCGGTGTGTAATTATGCTAAGACAATGTCGGACTCCGTAGTTTTCTCTGGACCCCTCCCCAATGTGACCAGTGATGACATGTATAGCCGCATGTCGTCATTCCACCGCTGGCTGTCGAGGTGGTGTCCAGCAAACGATGTGGGCTTCATTGATAACTGGAAGCCTTTTTGGGGAAAACCTGGTCTGATTAGGAGAGACGGCATCCATCCCACTTTGGATGGAGCGGCTCTCTTATCTAGAAATATGGCGAAGTTTATCTCTAAAACCTGACAGTCCAGAGTTGGGACCAGGAAGCAGAGCGGCTGTCTTACACACTTCTCTGCACTTTCTTTAGAACAGTCACCCACCCAAAACCCCATAGAGACTGTGTCTGTCCCCCGACCACCTAAACTATTTAAAGAAATAAAAACAAGAGGAGTTAAACATAAAAATCTAATAAAAATTAAAACCAACTCCTCAGTAGCACAAAATAAGAGAATGAAATGTGGGCTGTTAAATATCAGGTCTCTGTCCTCTAAAGCTGTTTTAGTGAATGAATTAATATCAGATTATGATATTGATTTACTTTGTCTTACTGAGACCTGTCCCACGATGAGTATGTTAGCCTAAATGAATCCACCCCCCAGTCATATTAATACTCACATTCCTCGAGGCACTGGCCGAGGAGGTGGAGTGGCAGCCATATATGATTCGAGCGTTTTAATGGACCCTAAACCTAAACTAAATTATAATTCATTTGAAAGCCTTGTTCTTAGTCTTTCTCACCCAAACTGGAAAACACTGCAGCCAGTTCTATTTGTTATAGTGTACCGCGCTCCTGGACCGTACTCTGATTTTATATCTGAATTCTCAGAGTTTTTATCAAGTTTAGTCCTTAAATCAGATAAAGTAATTATTGTAGGTGATTTTAATATTCATGTGGATGTTGACAATGACAGCCTTAGTAATGCATTTATATCATTAATAGACTCAATTGGCTTCTGTCAGAGTGTAAATAAACCAACTCATTGTTTTAATCACACTCTTGACCTTGTTCTATCATATGGCATTGATATTGAACATTTAATAGTCTTCCCACATAATCCTTTCCTATCTGACCATTATTTAATAACTTTTGAATTCATACTATTAGATTATAAGCCATCAGGCAAAACTTCCTACAGCAGATGTTTATCTGACAGTGCTGTAGCTAAATTTAAGGAGGAGATTCCTTCAGTGTTTAATTCAATGCCATGTCTGAATTTAACAGAAACTTATAATAACTTTAGTCCCTCCGAAATTGATAATCTTGTCGATAGTGCTACAGGCTCACTACGATCAACATTAGACTCTATCGCTCCTATAAAAAGGAAATTATTAAAACATAGGAGACTAGCACCTTGGTATAACCACCAAACCCGCCAGTTAAAACAAATAGCTAGAAAATCTGAAAAGAAATGGCGCTCTTCCAAAGAATCAGAATATCGCTCAATTTGGCAAGATAATTTTAAAATTTATAGAAAGGCCCTCCGTAATGCCAGAGGAGCCTATTACTCAGCACTATTAGAAG